GATATATAGATCATGTTACATGCATTAAATTTTTTCAGTACTAGCGGTGAATATCAGAACGCAATTTTAATCTAATGGAGACACATTAATCTTCCTTATAAACAGCTGTGGTACATCGTGCATCAATATAAAAATAAGAAATTTCGTTTGTGTGGAATTTTTTTATAAATGAGGAATTTAAGTTTTAAATATTAGTAAATAATCGCATAATATGATAAAACAAGAATTTATTTACGAGATATTGAAAGCGACCACGTGTAATGCTCTAACTCATCGTTTAACGGAAGCGTCACTTTCACAACGAAATGTTTATGAGCGAGCATCGAATGGGCAAAAAAATAAATTGCGACAGCTCAAATGTAAAGTATACGTACAATGAATTTACATTTCTTACCATCTTGCAACTTTTCTACAACTTCTTGTGCGTCAAACGCAATCTAACCATGCGGTTTATGTGACTTATCTGAAAAGAATATGGACACGAGCCAGTGTTCCGATATTGAAGTGGCTATAAGCGCATGCGCGGCGTGCACGTCACCATGAAAGTAGCTAAAGGCTCGTCTACAATTTTTGTAAGAATATGGCTGTAAAGCTATAAGACGCGAAATAAATTATTTTCATTCGCTGACAGCTCATGTTACAGCCTTACAGCCATATTCTTATAGCTATTGTAGACAAACCTTAAGGCTGTAACGTGAGCTGTCAGCGAATAAAAATAATTCATTTCGCATCTTACAGCCTTATAGCCATATTCTTACCGAAATTGTAGACGAGCCTTAAGGCAAATGATATGTACCGTTGGAATCTCTTCATTATTATTGAAAAATTGTTAAAACAATGTCAAAAAAAGGAACCTATACGTTTATAAAACAGAACAGGTATTTACAAAAATATTTATTTACAAAAATTATTTATTTAGTAATCATATACTAATTACAAAGTATATTATTATTTTAACGCATCAAACAAAATTCGATAAACAATATAACAATAAAAGAAAAAGGATGATAGATACGATAATCGTACAAAGAAATAAAATTGAGTATAGTAAAATAAAATATTTTATTAGGCAAAATTTTATTGGATACCAACATTTGTTGCACGGGTAAAGAAAATTGCCAAAAACCTTACTAGTATTCATCCCAGCAAACACAAAATGTAATTTCTACGTAATACAGGAGTAATGGCTCCTGCACACATGACGCGGTAATGTTTGCCACGCGGCGGAAGTCCACGCGATAGCCAATCAATATGTTGTTTTTCCGTAAGAGCTAGAAGGTTATTACGGAAAGCAGCATATTGATTGGCTGTCGCGCGAACTTCCACCGCGCAGCAAACATTACCGCGTCTTGTGTGCAGAAGCCATAATGGCTTGGTTTACATCGTGCATTTAATACGCGTACTAAATAGTAATTTTCTATTAGATAATCTTAATATCGACAATGCATATTAACGGCGACGCATTCAATCAAAACAATACGTTTTGTTGATGAGTATTACCAGCTTAATATACCGTTGTTTATATATATCGTCGATATTAAGATTATCTAAAAGAAAGTGACTATTTAGTACGCGTATCATGTGCACGATGTAAACTAAGCCATTGGCTCCTGCACACAAGACGCAGTAATGCTTGCCGCGCGGCGGAAGTTCGCGCGACATCCAATCAATATGCTGTTTTCCGTAATAATCTTCTAGCTCTTACGGAAAATCAACATATTGATTGGCTGTCGCGTGGACTTCCGCCGCGCGGCAAGCATTACCGCGTCCTGTGTACAAGAGCCATAAAGGTCTTTGCACGTAAAAAAGCGTTAACCGTAACTTTAATGGCTCCTGCACACAGGACGCGGTAATGCTTGCCGCGCGGCGGAATTTCGCGCAACAGCCAATTAATATGCTGCTTTCCGTAATAACCTTTTAGCTCTTACGGAAAAACAACATATTGATTGACTGTCATGCGGACTTTCGCCGCGCGACAAGAATTACCGCGTCCTGTGTGCAGGAATCATAATTTCGTAGCCGCAAAATCTGTTGTCCATTCTTAAGGGCCTTTGCACGTAGAAAAATTTGAACAGTAACCATAAGGTCGTAAGAAAACTGACCAATTACAATCGATTATTCCTCGAACGCAAGGAGAATAATCAACTCTGATTGGTCAGTTTTCTTACTACTTTACGGTTACGGTTAAAATTATTCTACGTGCAATGGCCTTCAGCTAGCCACACACTTTCCGTAACAGTAACCGTAAGACGTAACATAAGAATTGACTAATCATGTTGAGAATCGTCGAATTATAAGGTCGCCATTTTTATGAATACTCGATCGTAATTGGTCAATTCTTATGTTATGGCTCTTGCACACAGGACGCGGTAATGCTTGCCGCGCGGCGGAAGTTCGCGCGGCATCCAATCAATATGCTGCTTTCCGTAATAACTTTTTAGCTCTTACGGAAAAACAACATATTAATTGGCTGTCACGCGGACTTCCGCCGCGCGGCAAGCATTATCGCGTCCTGTGTATAGGAGCCATTACGTCTTACGGTTACTGTTACGAAAAGTGTGTGTAGCTAGCTTTAATACTTGCATTACGCATGCGCACGAAATGATCTTTAAAAAGGTATCAAGGTGAAATCACAGTATGACATCACATTATGATGAAACGTGATCATCACGTATTTTTATCTAGGAAGCTATGCCGCATATGGGAGCGGTGCACTTGGACACAGTGCATTTGGACACAGCCAATCACAGCACCGTGTGATTAGAGACATTTGTAGGGTCCCTTGGAACGACTTGTGATTGGACTGTGTCCAATTGCCCCGTGTCCAACTGATATACACCCGCCGCATATCTGGCGGAAATTTGGTAGCAAGATTTGATATAACAGATCCTACATCAAATTTGTTATCTATTTGCCATCAAAATTTGATAGCAAGCTCTGCTCGAAATCTGTTTGCGCAGGTTTGGCTATCTGGATTACATAATGTAGATAATGACCGATATTCATAGTCGGATCTTATATTTAAGCCGCTTAAGTTTATCTTCAGATGT